ATGATAAAATTAGGTAACAAAAAATAAACAGAAATTTACAAAAATACAAAATTGGCTAAAACTAAAGAAATCAACAACAACAAAAATTTTCATTTGAAAAGTTACAATTTTGCTTCAATTTTACAGAAAATGGGAAGCTTATATTATTTTTATATTATATTTATATTGGAAGCTTATATTATTTTTTATTCGCGAAATATCAGTACATAATCAAAATTTAACACAAAAGCAAAAAAACTAACAAAAATTGACTCGTTCCAAAACTAGGTTTGCTTTCTAGCTAATTTAAAATCATTTTTTGTAGATATCAATTTTTACGCAATATAATATTATATTGACGAACTTAGAGAAAGAAAACATGAAATTATTTTCTAGGAAAAAAAATTGCCAAAAATTTTAACAAAATAGTGATATGTTTTAGAAAATAACAAAAACTAAAAAAAAAACAAGACCAATCCAGAAAAAGATAATTAATTTTGAGTTTTAGTTACAAATTAAAGAATGTAATTATAGTTTTAGAACTAGTTATTGGTTTTAGTTTTATTTTTATAAAAAAAGGAATTATTGTCTGAAGATGTTTTAGCAAGCATTGTTATTTTTAAGCCATCTGAAATGACACAAAATCCATTTTTTGTGCTGGTACAAAAGACCAAAGCGGGCTAAGAAACGCGCTCAAGAGCCCAAAAAGGCCAATTTTTTATTCACCAACGATCGAAATAATCTTTTCGTCCTTTTAACCCATTGTGGGTGAGTTTTTTGACGTCATCTTAGCAAGGATTACACGAAAAGAACATCAAACACAACTCGTCCCTTGATCCTCCCATTTAAAAATCAATTTAATAGTTGTTTTCTTAACAAATTGTGAATATTATATTGTTATTAATGAACAATAAACACAATTACCCCGTCAATAAATTATTACTAAAGCCAAAATTGATTTTAATAATCATTAAACGTGAGAGCTTAAAAATGATGTCCGCATAACGAATTTAAACAAAGTTCGTTATTTTAGTGCGAGTAATTATTAAAGCAAATATTTTGTTCCAATAATGGGGAAAACTAATTAATCTATTAATTATTGTATTCATAGCAAGACACGCTTGATTTTCATCATCCGAAAACTGTCTCGCTTCTTTGTCAGCCTCCAACCTACATTAGAAGACAACTTGGACGGTTTCGCAGATAATCAACTGGTTATTTTGTTTGGCTTCGTGTATCGCATTAACTCAAACATGTCTATAAACCACAAACTAGGGTCCGAGCAATTATGCCGGCCCAAACCTGTACAAATAAATCGTTTTAATTAGAAAATTCGTACGGTGGTGGTGGTGGAGGCCGCTCCCTGCATTTTAAAAGAGCTCAAGTTTCACATCCGTCGATGTGTTAATGGATTTACATACGGCAAACATTTGATCTGGTCACATATGTCAGTGTATCGCCGAAAAATGGGTTAAATTGACTAGAAAGTGGGCAAATATGGGCCGAATTTCGTCGAATCAAACAAATTACAACTTAATCCCGGTAAGAAATCGGCAAATCCCGGGTGGCCGTGATTTAAATGAAGTCGACGAGGCGTGCAGTCGAGGGATTAAAAATCCTTCGGCATGTTGAGTCGCTTTTTGAGAGATTTCAAGAGACCGGATCTAACGCGAACCACAAACATGTGTTCCATACCGGATTTTTTCTTCTTCATCGTCGATTTGTTTGACTCCACATAGTAGAAAATACAGGCTGTTCCGCCTAAAACCCACATTAAAAGTTCTAACAATGATATTTATCTAAAATTTTGTTTATAGTTATAATCGGTTAGGTTCTGCTCAATGAAATTTTTTTCAAGATGGGGCACTTTTTGTTAGTGGATATCAAAAAAAAATAGAAAGTTATATTTTTTATTGCATTTTTGGATTACTCAGGTGATTTTAAGAGAGTTTTTATTAGTCTTCCCTATAACTAAGTTTAACCGTTTTCGAAATATTTACATCTTTTTAAAAATTTTTGGATTAGAATCATCCTATTCAAAAATCGATAACTCTATGATTTTTTATTATGTTGAAACCGTATTTGGGTATACGAGAAAGAAAGGTTAGGTCTTTCCTTTGGTGTATTCATAATTRGAAAAATAATTAACAAACCGCAAAATGTAAAGTTACGTTTAGGAAACCTCAAACACCCTTAACTGAATTTTTTTTTTAAATAAAACACTCCAATTTTTTCAAATTTAGATTAAATAAATTTAATTTTTATTTACAAAAAGAATAACACAATTGTGAAACAAA